TCTAGGTGCAACTGTAACTCTTGTTTAACATTAACATTCATGTAATCTCTGTTGTAGTTTATGTATTTGCTGTTTGGAGAGGTGGCACCTCACGCCTCTCTAAGGGGATTTTCATGTAACCAATATTGATGATTTTATTTATCAAAAAAAAAAAAAAACTAGCCTCTCCTCAATCCTCCTCCTCGAGACCTTCCTCCTGACCTTCGCCTTCTTCATTCCACATCTCTCTCCCTCCTCTAGTAGCCACTTTCTTCAAACTCTCTTCTCTCCTTTTCCTCTCAACCTCCTCAAAGGCTTTCCTAGCTAAACCCTCCCCTCCCCAAAAAAACAATCCATGCTTCTTGCCAATCTCTACATCTCTATCAACAATCTCCTCAATTAGCAAAACTCCTTCCGTTTCTGCCTTTTTGTTAGTTGGAATCAACACTTCCTTAACAGAACTGGACCCTATGGCATTAATCTCCTTACCTTGCTGAATGCCATCCACCTGAGGTTCGGAACTAACAGGAATCTAGGACCCAACCCCACCTCCATTGTCTACAGTCGGCCCAACTTTCTTCACACCTTTTCTCCTATACACCTTTTTGGAACTTTTTGTAGGTCATGGCCCCACCAAACTGAGTTTCATTTGTGAAAAAACTTAGTTACATGAAATGATTTCTTGGTAACCACTATCTCTACAGCATCCAAAGCCTTCATGTCTATCTTCCTCCTTCGTCCTAGATGCACCCCTAACCTACCAATCACCACTTCAATATTAAGAAAATCAACACTTGATCTCTCTAACTAATTGGATCCCCTGCAAACCACAAAATCAACTGACCTCCCTTCTTTACCTACTTCCACCACTCTTTCCACCTCACCCTCTTAAAATTATTCTCCCCATTCTCCTTTGATGATATCTGGCAGAATTGGAGAGAGTGGCACTTTACTCAGACGCTAAAGCTAAGGGCTCCACTAGAAGAAGGGTTTATAAAACTTAACTTTGATGGTAGCAGTCTTGGAAATCCGGAGCTCTCAGGAGGGGGAATAAGGGATGAAAGGTGAGAATATAATTGCATTTTTTTCAGGCCTGGCTGGTTTAGGGGATCTATCTTTGCTGAGTTCCATTGGAAATCCGGAGCTCTCAGGAGGGGGAATAAGGGATGAAAGGTGAGAATATAATTGCATTTTTTTCAGGCCTGGCTGGTTTAGGGGATCTATCTTTGCTGAGTTCCAAGCAGTCCTGCAGGGGGTGCAGCTTGCAAAACAGCTGAATATGGATAGATTGATAATTGAGGGGGATTCCAAGCTAGTAGTTGGGTGGCTAACAGATCCAGGTCCTGTTATTTGGACCTACAGGGAAGCTGTGAAGAAATTCAAAATGATGATTTCAGTGGCAAAGGAGGTCGGCTAATGGCTTAGCAGACTCGTTAGCTAAGCAAGGGGTTTTTAGGGAATCTATGTTTTGGGCTCAATTGTAAGCTAATTTGTACCTGAGGCTGCATCTAGTTCCTCTTTTTGGGAATCTGTAGTCTTTCTGATTAATTCTTAATAAAATTCTCTTTTCCTATAAAAAAGTGGGTTTGTTCACCTGTAGTGTAAAGGGTGAATATGGCCTTTGATCCCAGGTGTATGGTATCAACATTACCTGTTTTAACTTAGTTTCTTTCGTAAAGGCACTGTTTTACATGAAAAGATAGTTTGCAATCCCACTGTGGAACTCTGGCAAAGAAATATCTAAGTAACAAGGAAAATTAGAGAGTAGCCATTGTAAGTTCGCCCTTCATCAGAAACACCAAATATAGACTGTTCCAGTTGAATTCATATAAACTGTTCCAGACGACCATGCAAAACATTTATATGCATTTATTTTCCTCTCTCTCTCTCTCTCTCTCAGAGGCCTTGTACCATGGCATTTCCTCACAGAAATGGTCATCTCCCTCATGGCAATCTACACTGCTCCGACAAGTTTGGTGGTGAAATTCATGTTACAGGTTTAGAACACAGACACGCAGCACTTGTAGCATCTTCATCAAATATATGTTTTAGAAGATGGTTAGGACTGAGCATTATATCTCCTGTTAGTCTTCCAACCTGATGAACTTAATTGCCAATAAAAAAAAGCAAAATCCTACTATCCTACACTCATTCTGCAGGATCAACTTTTGTCAATGGATCCTTCTGGGGTATGTCCACATCATCATTATTACATCATATGGGACATAGGAATATGCAAATTGTCAAAACAATATCATGTATATGAAAAAAGGAGTTATATAAGTAACTTGATGAGGTTATTTTAGGAGACAACTATTCTGTGTGATGGGAAAATCTAGGGCGACAAATGTGGAAAACGCGGGTTTATGTCTGAGGGTTGCCATTTTATGCAAAAAAAACCAAAGCTTAGGTTTGTATCCAGCCCACCACTTTCAAGACACCTGATGGCTGGGAACAGCATTACATAATGACCCTTTTTGATGTTGCAGAGAATGAGTAATCAAGGTAGCGAAGGAAGTCGATCTTAAGTTTCAGATCATGGTCTCATGGCATCTTTCCAACTGGGATTATTGTTTTGATGGGTAAAGGAAATCTTGTATTAAGTTATTAACTATTAACAATAACAGAGTTTAAACAAAAACAAGGTTCCAGCCGTTGAGGTTGTCTATGCCACCATAAAACTACACCTTCGAAAATGATTAACTAATCCAGCAAAAACCATCAAGAGGGGATGGCATTCAAAGAGTCCGACTCCACTACTGCTGATTTTCATTCAGCTTTAGCAGCAAAATTCAAAGTCTTCAAATTAGCACCAAGTTCTTCTCTGCATCAGTAATTCCAGAAAAAGCACCATGAGGATTTCCTGCAGCCACCACATATTATTATTAGTCAGAATAAAACCAAAAGATCCATTCTTATCCTCACTAACTCCTGCATCACATTGTAAAGATAGACCTTCATAACTGAATTAACTTTCCTCATCAAAGCTTCAAGAACCAACTCTGTCTGAAATATAGGATATAATCCAACGCACATTTTTTTCCAATATTATTATATATCAATTCATTCATCACTTTCCAAATCATATAAAAACCAACAGCTAACAAGAGAAAAATTTATTTCTTTCCACTTTGTATGTAATTTGATTAAAAAAAAAAAAACTGAACCACAGAAGAGAATTGATTTCTAGAAATAACAATATTCCAGGGATTAGTAAACAAAATTGCTCTGACCATAGAACGGTAGCTAAAAAAAGATGAATAATAGATTCCCACTCTTCACACAACAGTCACAGAGACTCGTGTACAATGCTTATTAGTACCTACAAGTCCCATTACAAATTATCCATAAAAATAACTTTTGCCTTTGAAGGGATAGACAACTTCCAGATTTTCTTAATTTTTAACCAAAGATCAAAGATAGTAGAAACCAGTTTTCAACCACAACTGCCAAATAGAAATCTTTAACAGAAAAACAGAAAAACAGAAAAATGGGATAAGTGATTTTGAATAAACATACAACATTCAAATTTACCCTAGTACCCTACTAATGGATACATATCAATTGTGTACATACAACACGCAAACAATAATGTTTGTCTAGAAGGAAGAAATGTCTACGGATTGGGAATTTGGGCTTTGGTGAATTATCATTTATGATTGTGTACATATATGATACATATTCCCTTCATTAGGGACGGGCCACGGGTATGCTGTGATGGGATCACCTACCAACAGAAGGCGTTCCAACACCCTCCCAACAGGTTGATGAGACTGGAACCCACCATAAAAGACCCTCCATGTATGATATATACATGTCTGATCATGTTGGGAGGGTGTTGGAACGGCTTCTATTGGCAAGTTATTCAGACTCATGCTGCTCAGGTTGTAAAATTTTGGGAGAAAGACCGTTCAACCCAGGGTTAGAATTTGTAGGTCCAAAGTACTGTTGGAGTAGGTGTCAACTCAGAATTGGTGTTAATTTACAACCGGCTTTATAGCATAGAGTGTGGGTTGTTGACATTTTGAATGTTTATAGCTCTGCAGTAAAAATCAGAAATCTAGGTTGGGACTGTCCGTACTTTTCCATAAATTTATTTATTTTTGTATAAATTATAAAAATCCCCCTATTATAAGGTCAATAATATACTCCCTAAACTTTCATATATGACAAAGTCCCTATACTTTCACTTTGTGCTTGACCATTAGGTCATATGGCAAATGGACTAAATTACTAAACTTACCTTGCAAATCCTAATTGACCAAAAATACCACTATTTTTTTTCCAAACGAAGCCAGTTGAAATGACAAGAATCGATTTATTAGTAATAGGAACTAAGCTTTTTTTTTTTAATTCTTGATTCATTTCATTAACATGAATGTCTCTTTGTTTTAAAATACAAAAATCATCCACTCCTTTCTTCAAAAAATAAAAAGCCCAAACTAAACTATGTATTTATATATATTAGAAAGAAACCTCTATCATTTCATTTGGATATTTAATTTAGCCCAAAATTTGCAAGAATTTATTGGAGCAATCGGGAATGACTTTAATGCTATATTTAAAAAACAAATCGAATCATAAAATAGTTTAAATTAATAAGAAAAGGACCCCATATTACAAGAATGGGTCATTTTTTTTTTTGATAGATTAGGGAAAGTTTACAAACCACAAGACCAAAATTTTCTTTTGCGAAAGCGTTAGATTGGAACAACTGAACGTTGATCCTGCTACCAATTCGACGGCTGTTAGTAACGGCTTTCGTTTGAACACCATTTGGTCGAACAGAATGTTCCTGCGTGGTCAGACTGCCGTATAACAGTTAACACAGAAGAGTTAAAAGACCAACCGCCTTATCTTTACGGTAGATAAAACTTAAAGTTGTCAAAACCCAGCGGGCGAAGCTTCGATAAGACGTTTTGACGTTTGAAAATTTTCTTTGCCTGCCTGCCCTCTTGTCTTTGGTGCCTGCGCTGCCGCGAAATTTCTTTCTCCGCGTAGGATTGTTAATAATATATACACCACCCTCTTCTCCTCTCTCCTTCCATCTTTCTCCTCCCCCCCATTGAGTTGAGTCATTTCCATCAATGGCTTCGATTTACAGTTGTGCAGAGTGCGGTGCGAACTTAAATCTGAGAACCAACCTTCTATTCCCTCCGGATTTCTACTTCGAGGCAGGGAACAAGGGGACTCTCTCCTTCTCCTCGGTTGATGAGACCAAGTTTAGATTCGAAAAAGAAGACAAATTTAGGCCTTTTTTTGAGACGGTGAATTACTGGGGAATTCAAAGGAAGAGAACCAAGATCAAGTGCAACAGCTGTGGGCGTCTTGTCGGCTATATCTACGACGATGGTCCTTCCCTTACTGACAGTCCTGGTCAGTTTCATATGGGTCCGAGTCAGGTGATCCCCAGAGCTCCGAGGTATAGATTCAAGACCAAGGCTCTCAAGATTACATCGGAAACGTAGGTTTTCTCCTTGGATTTTGTTATTTGACTAAATGGGTTTCTTGTAATTCTACGGGCTTTGTTTAGGATTTTGCGGTCGACGGGGCGAAACCCTTAATTGGTACTGTGGTGGTTTTAGTTGACAGAGTGGGTTAATGGGTTTCTTGATTGAACTCGGTTTTCCTTATTGGTGCAAATAAATTGGCTCCTGGTTTATGTTTTATAATGTACATTTGATTTGGAATGTTTATATTAGTTTTGAGATCTTCCTTTGTATGTCTTTGTAGATAGAGGCGTGAGAGGGTTGTATTCATAATTGATTTGTTTCTTAATCTTGAGTATTGAGCTATGAAGTCACAGATTCTGGTGCTTATGAACTAAACTGACTGTGAACTTGGTAAAGATGTGTGAAACAGAATTCTTTGTAATGGAGATTTGGATTTTAGTAAATTTTAGATGTTCTCTGTTTTCTTTGGAAAACTTGGGCTTTAATATTTTGGTCTGAACCTCTGAGATAAATGACTTTCCACCTTTGTTATTTGGATTTTTGATTATTTCAATTTGAGGACATTTAGATTCTCTAGTGCTAATGAACATCTAATATTTACTAAAATCTAAACCTCCACTACAAAGAACTCTTTGTTTGGAACACTTGGTTTTAACTTTTAATGTTTTGGTCTGGAGCTCTGACATGAATAACTTGCACATTTGGTTCTTTGGATCTTTATCATTTAAATATTAGGAATTTTTGGTTCTCTTATGCTAATGTGCAGCTTTGAGGGAATTGCGTTTGGGTGGGTGGGAAAATGCAGATTCTAATACCGAAGGCTTTAACCTTATTATGAAGGTTCAGTTATAGTTGATCTTGGGGTTGGTTTTTCTTTTTTTTTTTTTCTT